GTTACACTGAGAACGTTCAAGCAGTTGAGTGCTATACTGACCGCCAGTCAGCTCAAATATGACATTCTCAATCAAAAGCATTCATAATCCTAATTCTAAACGCTTGGGGGAATTTGGGCGCATACTGTTAATAGGTAGGTGAGGTGGAACAGATGTTATCTTGCGGACATCGTCAAATTCCTACCCTTTTACAAAATACAAAATATCAGGATACATGTTATGAAGACTGTTATCAATTAAAACAATGAGTTTTAGAGATAAGTGCTGAATATTGTTCACTCTCAAGTTCAGAATATGATCATACATTGTATATATTTCCGAATGGATTGGAAAGCCGCAACCTCGTGTTTTGGGAGAAGATATTTTGCAAACCGTAGTGCAGTATTCAATCTATTCAATATTGATCCAGAACATGGTATACCAATCAAGCCATCAAATACATTGAGTATCAATTTCAGTATTTTACTGTGCCAATAAATATTCATAGCTTTCAAACCTTCATGAACGATTGTAACAAATGAGAATTTGAATTTCTGATACACTCGCTGTTCTGATACATACTCATCAAAGGATTGTAAATAATACAAAAGGTTTTGTTTGTCAATAACTGTTAAATTTGCTGTTCTGATAAGAATGTATCTAATACGTACTGGAATATAATTCTTCTGAGATTGCTACAATTTGATTGGTTGACAGCGACAGGGGTGTTTTGTAAGCACGACACATCAAATTCGTGTGTTTGGTGCAGTTACCCTGCCCGATTTTGTTCTGTTACCCTGCCTATTTTGAGATGGTTACTCTACCCGATTAGTGCGGTTGCCCTGCCTGCTCTGAGCCGTTACCCTACCTTTTTTGTGCGTAACCCTAACTTTTTTGTGCGTTACCCTACCTTTTTTGGGCGTTACCCTGCCTGCTCAGGGCCGTTACCCTGCACATTTTCCTGCCAAGCCCAAACCCTAACCCTGACCTTACCTATGAGACCAGCCCAACCAACGGAACCCTTTATGATTAAATAATAAATATAGCTATTTAGTAGTCAAATATGAGCAGAATAGGCGAGAGAGACGAACAGTAGTTGGCGGGGAGTGCGAAGAGGGAGAGGGAAGACCAGTAAGAGCGGAAGAGGAGGTGCCAGTGTGGTGGAGGAATGGTAAAGGGAGCTGGAATATATCAGAGCTGGCACTGGAGCTGGCATTGGAGCTGGCACAGGAGCTGGCATCGAGGCGAACGCCGGAGTAGTCACTCGAGCGGTCACCGGAGCGGACACAAGAGCGGGAAGACGAGCAGGAACATGAGCGGGAACAGGGGTGGGCACAAGAGCGGGCACAGGAGTGAGGGTTAGAGCTGGCACCGGAGCTGGCACCAGAGCGGGTACTGGAGCGGGTACCGGAGCTGCCACCGGAGCGGCATCAGAGCTGGTACTGGAGCTGGAAGCGAAGCGGGCACTGGAGCTGGCATGTATCTGAGCTGGCACTGGAGCCGGCATATAATGGAGCTGGCATTGGAGTGGGCATTGGAGATGGCATTCGGGCGGCTCCGGCTAGAGCTGGGATGTATTTGAGTCGAGACCGAAGCTGACACTGGGGTTGACCTTGATTTTAGCTCGCACCGGAGTGGGCATTAGAGCTGGCACTGGACCTGGCATTGAAAATCGGAAATTGATCTCCAGAACAAGATTTAGGCATTTATGTGACATGGCCGGGAAAACAGAACATGAGACGGCAAACACAAAATTAACTAATTACTGGAGGTGTCTAGATACTACACATAGGTGGGAGAGAAGGGGACCTCAGGGTCGCGAGGTGGCGTACCTTTAGTAAGTATGAACCAATTATTAATGATATCAACCAAGTTCACTGCTAATTACTGATTCGAATATTTTCCTGACAGGTATCGACTCCTATTTAGTATTCAACCATGATACAGAAAGCTTTTCTTATCGGTATACACTTTACTTGCCATTCCGATTTGTATGCATACTTATCAAGCGATTGCCAAAAATTCTCACAAATCTTGTTTAGTATTCCTGATTTACATTCTGTCACAACAAGTGTGCATACAAATCGAATCATAGCAAACCATACCAACAAATCTCAATTTCAAACTGTGATGCAGTTTCTGTTTCGATTGATATTATACCTCTCAAGCTATCACAAACAGTAGTAACCAATTTCACCATTAGTGTTTGCTTTACATATTGTCCTAGTAGACATGCATATCTATCCAGCGATTCAATATTGCTCAGTAGTGTCTAGAACAATAATACTATATAACCCGAAGACTGGTAATTGCAACCTTCATGGTTACGTATCGGAATTAGAATGTAGGACAGAATACTGAAGTGACACTTTTCTATCTATTTTTCTTCAGGTCGTTGTTATTCTATTGGTACAAAATTCAATTTTTGGTCAAAATGTAACAGATCAATGTGTATTTGGTGGTGGTTAAAACCTGCATGTGGGTAGTTAGGGTTACGAGCGTTCAAATCTGAATTGGTTACATGTACAAAATACAATGTTCGGTCATAATGAAATACAGTGTATTTGGTGGTGGTCGAAACCTGGATGTGGGTAGTTAGGGTTAGGAGCGTTGAAAGTTGGTTTGGTTACGTGCACAAAATACAATCTTCGGTCAAAATGAAATACTTGAATGTGTATTTGGTGGTGGTTGGAACCTGAATATGGGTAGTTAGGGTTATGAGCGTTCAAATCTGAATTGATTACATGTACAAAATACAATGTTCGGTCAAAATGAAATGCATGAATCTGTATTACGAGGTGGTGTAAACTTGGCTGTTGACGGTTAGGGTTACGAGCGTTGAAAGTTAGTTTGGTTATGTGTACAAAGTACAATCTTCGGTCAAAATGAAATACATGAATCTGTATTACGAGGTGGTTTAAACCTGGCTGTTGGCGGTTAGGGTTACGAGCGTTGAAAGTTGGTTTGCTTACATGTACAAAATACAATGTTCGGTCAAAATGAAATACAATGTGTATTTGGTGGTGGTCGAAACCTGGATGTGGGTAGTTAGGGTTACGAGCGTTGAAAGTTGGTTTGGTTATGTGTACAAAATACAATCTTCGGTCAAAATGAAATACTTGGATGTGTATTTGGTGGTGGTTGGAACCTGAATATGGGTAGTTAGGGTTATGAGCGTTCAAATCTGAATTGGTTACATGTACAAAATACAATGCTCGGTCAAAATGAAATACAATGTGTATTTTGTGGTGGTTGAAACCTGGATGTGGGTAGTTAGGGTTACGAGCGTTGAAGTGGGATTTTGGTTAGGGTTAGAGAATACGGTTTTCGGTCAAAATGAAATGCATGAATCTGTATTACGAGGTGGTTTAAACCTGCCTGTTGGCGGTTAGGGTTACGAACGCTGCCATCTGGTTCGGTTAGGTGTGCAAAATAGAATTTTCGGCAGAAATGAAATACATAAATCTGTATTTGGTGGTGGTTTGTACCTGGCTGTTGGCGGTTAGGGTTACGAGTGTCGAAGTGGTATTCGCCCAATGCGGTAACCCGGGGTTCAGAATCCGAAATTCGTGTATTTCATCGAACCACAAGATGGGAACACGGCATGATTCAGTTTTGAACGCCATCATGATTGTAGGATAGAGAATGCACGCTCGGTACGGTGCAGTTGTCGATTGTTGTGAGTGTCGGTGATGGAGTGAACCAGGACGGGTTGCCAAGACTCACAGTGAGTTACCCTACTCAACAGCCCCCAACCACCACCTCCGCCCCCGCAATCACGACCACGACCCCCTGTACGCGCATACCTGATGATGGGAATGGACTCGGGTCGTCCTGTTCGACCCATAGCCACGGAGCCCGGAATTGTGGGGCGACGGTTCCCGGGCAACCTCAAAATCCTGTCCGACATTCGACTACTAGATAGCAACGGAATCGGTAATTGTACGGGTACGGTTCTCGCCCAACCGAACAATCCTGTCCTAAGTTGCCCTAGCAGAATGGTTTCTGTACAATCACCAACCGTTACGATCAAATCTTAACGCCCAAAGTCACCTCAGGTCTGCAAACTCACACCGGTGCTTCTGGACAAAATCCGGCCTCATTCAGCTTCAGACCCTAAGTAATTCTCCTCGGAGGAGGCTGTGGATCACACCTTCGGTAAGACAGTAGACCGAAACCTAACTTTGAGACACTGTGATGTCTTTTAGAAGAAAAGATGCTAAATCCCAAATCACCGAGAGCTCAAACCAAAAATCATGAGCGCCCTACATGATTCGAAGCCCACAAGCCACATGGGTCAATTCAAAACTGCAGAGCATCTTCGGGCACTGTTCTTTTGCCCAAAGATGGACAATGATATGGGAGAATACGTATGGAGTTGCGATACATGTCAAAGCAATAAAAGCTCCAGTCATGAAAAGCACAGGATACTACCATATTTAGAGGTCCCCAATACTCCTTGCAGCTCCATCTCGATAGACTTTTTCGTTAGTTTGCCAGAATCTGAAGCCTATACCCGTATCGGGGTTATTGTTGAACGCTTTACAAAAATCACCTACTTCATACCGCTCAAGACCGAGGCAACAATCATGGAACTTTCGCATATATTCCTTCAAGAAATATGCCGACTACATGGACTATCCGAAGTATTCATTTCTGATAGGGACTTCAGATTCGAAAGCAAGTTCTGACATTCATTGATCAAGCTTCTCGGAGTCAACCTTTGTCTGTCTACAGCATATCGTCCTCAAGCTGACAGGTGAACTGAGAGGATCATTCAAACGCTAGAGCAATATTTCAGAAACTTTTGGTCCTACCAGTAGGACGATTGGGCAGGGTTACTGCCGCTTGCACAGTACGCCTACAAAACGGCAACCCAATAGACCATTAAAGTATCTCAGTTCTACGCGAACTATGGGTTCGAGCCTGATTCCGATTGGCATTTGCGCAGAAGGAAGCTGGACAATGCCAATATTTCCAATGCCGTATTAAAGTTCAAGTGGAAAGCTCTTTGGAAAACTATGAGGACTGATATTTTTAAGGCACAGGCCCGGCAGAAGAAATGGTATGACCAGAAGCATATGAAACCTCCAGAACCTGAAGATGGGGATAAGGTGATGATGGACCGACGTAATATGGTTGCCAATCGACCCTCAAGCAAGCTTGACTACAAGAAACTGTGTCTCTTTGAGGTTGATGAGAAACTTGTTGTTGCGTTCTACAGGCTGAAGCTTCCCTCTCAATGGAACATTCATGATGACTTCCAAATATTTCTGCTGGAGTCCTATCGGGGACTGAAATACCCTCGACGCACTGAAGTCCCTCCTACTCCAGATGAGGTCGAAGGAGAATACAGTCACGTTCTCCGAGAAATAGCTAATAGTCGATGGCAACATGCTAGGCATTCGAAAATGTTTGTAGAGTATCGCATTGTTTGGGAGGGCTATCGTTCGGAAGACTCCTGGGAACCATATGAAATTCTGCAAGGAAGAGCCGATGAGGCCCTGAAAGTATTTCATCAAAAATACCCGCAAAAACCTCGGAAAATACGGGGAAACTTTAGGGATCCTCAAAACACGGCGTGAGTAGCTCTGTATCCCAGAAGAAATCCGGGAACAAAAACCAACTCTCCTGTACCAGGTTTTTCATCTATCTGACAGAGTTCGGATACCATTTTTCCCTGAAAACAATGCAAGAAATGATTGAAAACCGAACCGTGAGGAAACCCGCGTAAAAAAGACAAGGGAAAAAGAGAGATTCTTGCTAACATCGAAATCGCCACTAGTGGAACGGAAGGTTCTACGACAAGAGTGGGGAATATGTCATTTTCTTTGTTTTTAAAAGGCATTTCATGTTAGAGTTTTCTTTCTCTGATGGAAATGGAAACAGAGATGTAATTTGTACGTAATCACCAATAGAGCTACAGTTTTTCTTTTATGCCAAATAGTAATGTTCCAGTAACACTACAGTGGACTCAAAATGAGTCTACAATAGAGGGGAGTAATGTAACAAGGCCACTATGAGGCTGTTACAAAAGAACCTATTCCATCAGTTAAGTCACCGACCCAAAGTAACAGCAGCTTGTTCTTCATCGATGCGTGAAGACAAGGGCAGTTAGGCTCCTACCTTTAGTGGTATAGAGGACAGTGATCTCAATGAGTAAGAAGTCTTACAAGTCAAAAATAGGGGGCTGAGCAAGCTTGGAACAGAAGTACAAAGATGGCTGATAGTACAGGGAACCCAGGACGGGAGTTCCCTACCTATGCAGTCGAATCTTTGAGGTTTCAGATCTCTGCAACCGACGCTCAAAGATCATGCTTTAGCACTACAGACATGATTCTGGCGGTGTCCCGGAGCTAATAGAAAATCTAATTCTAAAAACACGTTTTAATCCCCAACATTAACCTCCGCAGTGTCAAACTGCCGGAATGCTCCTGTTTTGCTCCGGAGCATCTTTGGGGAGTGGGAGTGCGACTCAAGCTACTAAAGCAAAACCTCGGTTTACAAACACCCAAATCGGTTCTCATAAAGTTAGAATAAACAATTATTATCTGGTCGGCTGTTTCCAATAGTTCTTAATATTCCGACCACAGCTTTCAGCAAATTGCATGATTTGACTCGGACAGAAGTTCATTCAAGGTGTTGTAGTTACTCTCCTCTCCCCTGATAAAAAATAGTTGCTGTACCCCCGACTATCAACAGGCAGACTGTCAGTCGGAAAAAGAACTTGAGCAAATGCGCCGTATTCCTATAAGGGACTCGGTGTTGCCGCAGGTTGGCCTCTCATCATCAACGGATCTTTAATAGAGAGGAGACCCATTAAAATTATAATTTTCTAGACTTGGCAACGGTCAAACATACAAACTGCCATTTTCTTCTTCCTGAACGAGTATCATCAAAACTCGCTCTCTTTATTTACACTATTCGAAAGGAAGTCACGGTTGTACCTCATCATAGCACGTCAGTTACATTTGGTGGTCGATCGTCATTGACATGGTCGCATATGCTTCCAACATATTGGGTCTGTCCATTTGATATGTCATGACGTCTCTAAAGTTGTCCGACAATCTTTCCGGCAATTCGTCAATCTTGACTCCTTTGTTGTAATGCAAGTGGGACACGTTTCTGATGAACTGTGAGTAGTAGGTGGCAAAGTCTCCTTTGCCTTGCCTCAGGGGGACGAGTTGGCGGTGGATGGTACTTTGGGTATTTAGGTCTCTAAATGAGCCTTTCATGTGGGCGACAAAGAAGGTGACGGAGGAAAAGAAGTCAGCAGGATTGGCGTTAACAAGTTGTATTACCTGATCAAGAGCTCTTCCCTCCAAACAGCTGACCGCATGGATAACCTTTGCTGTCCCATTGCGGAACCGATTATGGTTGACTTCGTGCTTCATTCGGAGTTGGGTAACGAATCCGGAGATTTTGGTCCGGATGCCATCAAACTTTTCGGGGAAAGTTTCAGACCCAAAGGTGGAGACAGTGGTTGGTGCAGTAGCAGCGAAAATGGGGATAGGAACATTGGGGGCGGAGGTGGTGTGGTCAACATTGAGGTCAAGGTTGACCTGTATTACTTGCTCTTCCAGGTAGCCAATGGTTTTGTGGACGGCGGAGAGCAGTGTACGAGCACTATCCCTCTCGTGTCGGATGCTTTAAAAGATAGTAGGGAGGTGGTCAAACAGGGCAGCAGTATTCTATTCGTACTGATTGTTAAACTACTCGATTTTGTTAGATGAGACCCATGTAGGTCGGTTGAGGGTGGACATGGCGTATGGTGCGGATTACGACGCAACGTAATCCTAGTGAGTTGGGTAGCGAGTATTCCGCAGGATACGGGACATGGTCATAGGGGCTGGTAGGTTAATCAGCGAGAGGGGTTGGAGAAACTTACAGTAGTTTAGGTCTAGCGGTGGGAAGGTCGGAGAAGTGAGATGGCCTCCTTATAAAGGAAGAGAAAGTAGTACTTGAATAGCAATAGGCAGCGTAGATTACCTAAGCCTTTGCGTACCAAAAGAAAGAGAAGAAAAGAGAGGGAAATAGAATAGAATCGAGGGCAAAGCCCCTTAATATACATAAAGAAAGCTTAGCAATCACAAATCTCAAGTAACTCATACCCTTAAAATCGACGGAAACTTCTAGAAATCCATAGAAGTTTTCTGATCAATTCGACCTTTTGTAACCCACTATATTATTCAATCGATCCATGAAATCGGACAAGGTTTTAGGATCTGAATTGGGTTACACTGAGAACGTTCAAGCAGTTGAGTGCTATACTGACCGCCAGTCAGCTCAAATATGACATTCTCAATCAAAAGCATTCATAATCCTAATTCTAAACGCTTGGGGGAATTTGGGCGCATACTGTTAATAGGTAGGTGAGGTGGAACAGATGTTATCTTGCGGACATCGTCAAATTCCTACCCTTTTACAAAATACAAAATATCAGGATACATGTTATGAAGACTGTTATCAATTAAAACAATGAGTTTTAGAGATAAGTGCTGAATATTGTTCACTCTCAAGTTCAGAATATGATCATACATTGTATATATTTCCGAATGGATTGGAAAGCCGCAACCTCGTGTTTTGGGAGAAGATATTTTGCAAACCGTAGTGCAGTATTCAATCTATTCAATATTGATCCAGAACATGGTATACCAATCAAGCCATCAAATACATTGAGTATCAATTTCAGTATTTTACTGTGCCAATAAATATTCATAGCTTTCAAACCTTCATGAACGATTGTAACAAATGAGAATTTGAATTTCTGATACACTTGCTGTCCTGATACATACCCATCAAAGGATTGGAAATAATACAAAAGGTTTTGTTTGTCAATAACTGTTAAATATGCTGTTCTCATAAGAACATATCTAATATGTACTGGAATATAATTCTTCTGAGATTGCTGCAATCTGATTTGTTCACAGCGACAGGGGTGTTTTGTAAGCACGACACATCAAATTCGTGTGTTTGGTGCAGTTACCCTACCCGATTTTGTTCTGTTACCCTGCCTATTTTGAGATGGTTATCCTACCCGATTAGTGCGGTTGCCCTGCCTGCTCTGAGCCATTACCCTACCTTTTTTGTGCGTTACCCTACCTTTTTTGGGCGTTACCCTGCCTGCTCAGGGCCGTTACCCTGCCTATTTTCCTGCCAAGCCCAAACCCTAACCCTGACCTTACCCATGAGACCAGCCCAACCAACGGAACACTTTATGATTAAATAATAAATATAGCTATTTAGTAGTCAAATATGAGCAGAATAGGCGAGAGAGACGAACAGTAGTTGGCGGGGAGTGCGAAGAGGGAGAGGGAAGACCAGTAAGAGGGGAAGAGGAGGTGCCAGTGTGGTGGAGGAACGGTGAAGGGAGCTGGAATATATCAGAGCTGGCACTGGAGCTGGCATTGGAGCTGGCACAGGAGCTGGCATCGAGGCAAACACCGGAGTAGTCACTCGAGCGGTAACCGGAGCGGACACAAGAGCGGGAAGACGAGCAGGAATATGAGCGGGAATAGGGGTGGGTACAAGAGTGGGCACAGGAGTGAGGGTTAGAGCTGGCACCGGAGCTGGCACCAGAGGGGGTACTGGAGCGGGTACCGGAGCTGCCACCGGAGCGGGTATCAGAGCTGGTACTGGAGCTCACAGAGAAGCGGACACTGGAGCTGGCATGTATCTAAGCTGGCACTGGAGCCGGTATCTAATGGAGCTGGCACTGGAGTGGGCATTAGAGATGGCATTTGGGCGGCTCCAGCTAGAGCTGGCATATATTTGAGCCGACACCGAAGCTGACACTGGGGCTGACCTTGATTTTAGCTCGCACCGGAGTGGGCATTAGAGCTGGCACTGGACCTGGCATTGAAAATCGGAAATAGATCTCCAGAGCAAGATTTAGGCATTTATGTGACATGGCCGGGAAAACAGAACATGAGACGGCAAAGACAAAATTAACTAATTACTGGAGGTGCCTAGATACTACACATAGGTGGGAGAGAAGGGGACCTCAGGGTCGCGAGGTGGCGTACCTTTAGTAAGTATGAACCAATTATTAATGATATCAACCAAGTTCACTGCTAATTACTGATTCGAATATTTTCCTGACAGGTATCGACTCCTATTTAGTATTCAACCATCATACAGAAAGCGTTTCTTATCGGTATACACTTTACTTGCTATTCCGATTTGTATGCATACGTATCAAGCGATTGCCAAAAATTCTCACAAATCTTATTTAGTATTCCTGATTTACATTCTGTCACAACAAGTGTGCATACAAATCGAATCATAGCAAACCATACCAACAAATCTCAATTTCAAACTGTGATGCAGTTTCTGTTTCGATTGATATTATACCTCTCAAGCTATCACAAACAGTAGTAACCAATTTCACCATTAGTGTTTGCTTTACATGTTGTCCTAGTAGACATGCATATCTATCCAGCGACTCAATATTGCTCAGTAGTGTCTATAACAATAATACTATATAACCCGAAGACTGGTAATTGCAACCTTCATGGTTACGTATCGGAATTAGAATGTAGGACAGAATACTGAATTGACACTTTTCTATCTATTTTTCTTCAGG